GAAGTGTTGTGAATCAATTTCATAAGAAAAACTGATATGGTATTTATAGTATCAATTTTTTAAATTCTGATTTTTAAGAAAAAGTGTATATTTAATAAGTCAATTTTGCACCCAAACCTCTACTCCCTCAGAAAAAAATTCCTTCATCGAAAAATCCTGAATTTTGAAATAATATTATTAAGATTAAGTAGCACTAATCATCACTATTAAAACACAGACATCTCTCAATTAGTATTAGGTTTCCATGTGAAGAACAGACTCTTAAAAATGGCTAAAATAAAAATAAAAATTTACTTTTCTTATGTAAATAAAGTTCAAGGAATGCACTCCGGGTCTTCTATCATGGTTCCAGCATTATCAGGGACCCAAGTCCACCCAGGTCTCTGCTCTGTCCTATCAGGGGTTACGTAAATGAAACCTGTTCTCATCTAGCTGCCAGAGCGCTGGTCCTTCCCATCAGCAAGAAGGAAAGGAAGAGAAGCAGTTGTGCTCTTCATCCTTTTCAAGAATTGTTCTTACAAGTTCCACACACAATATTTTCACTAACTACAAAGGAGCTGGTAGATGTCTATTAATTAATAGACTGGTGTCTATTAATTGAGGGAGTTGAGTGGAATGGCTATTGCTAAGGAACTAACTGTCTCTGCCAGACACTGGAAGGGATATTACTTGATCAATTATAAGCTTTGGTGTGAATGAGTCCATCAGCTCCTTTTTGAAAGCAATATTTCATAGGTAAGAAGGATTGATGAGCCTAAAAGGATACTAAGCTAGAGAGTGGAGGCTGCTGAATGGGGCAGATAAAGAATATTGAAGATGAATCTCCTCTATTTTAGAATCTTGCTCAGAGCCACCATTAGCCCCAACTCCATCTTTCTTATTTATACTTTTGTCCATTTAAAGAAGTTGAATTCAATACTAATAGAGAAGGGGTCATGTCATGTATCAACTATATTTCTTTTGTTTCAAAGGATAACATGATCTTTTAAAAGATATGATCACATTTTTCATTGTGTGCTATTGCCTCTCTTTTAAAGAGACCTTCTAATGCCAAGATGGTTTTTGGATTTCCACGGTTATTACATTCATCTTCGTGTGTTTGTCTCTCCCTGAACCCTGAAGAGAATGGAAAAATGGCATCATGTTGATAAAAAGTGATGCCTTCCAAGACATTCTTTAAATGTCCTACGTGCAGATATGGTCAGAACGAATAATTCAGGCCAACTGAGTGAACATTTCCCCAGAGACGCTTGAGGTAAAACTGGCTGGCTTTGCAAAGTGGTTCTCTTTATAACCTAGCAACACTGCTTGATGACGTTTTGGGTGACAGTCCAATTTCTTAGGTGATTTAAGTATATGCATTTAGCGTTTCCCAGCACTTTTGCTTTTAGAGCTAACTTATAAAGGGAGAGCAGCAAACACTGCTGTGCCATGGCTGTGGCCTTTGCACAGTCACCTGCAGAAACACAATGCATTTCTCCACAAGACACCTCCGTTCCCAAAGATGCCACTGGATTCCAGTTGCCTCATCTTCCATATTTTGCTACTTTTACTGACAAGAGAAAAATTTCAGGAAAACATTGGAGGAGGAAAGGGATGGTAGAAAAAGAAAAGTTGAAGATTCAAATGGACGTTTTGTAATGTTTCTCTGTGTTTGCTGCAGAGAAAATGTTTGCAGTGCACAAATGCTTCTGTACAGTAAGCTCTGTCCCTAATCAAAATGGTGACATGGCTTCAAACTGAGTACCACCTGGCCTCTTGGGGAAGCCTTCACTTTTGCCCTGTGCCCATGATAAAGACAGAGAAAACATATCATTCATTGTTGATCTGCCCCATGCCCACAACTGATCCCTACCTCTGCTGGTTATGTAGATTTTTCTGAAGATATTGGAGAAATTAAAAGAATCTGCACTGCACATCACTCAGGAAAAACTACATCTAGAACACAACTGTATGTGGCAAAATAAAATGATTCTTAATGCAGAAACAGAAAACGAAATACCACACGTTCTCACTTATAAGTGGGAGGTAACGGTCAAATACACCTGGGCATAAAGATGGGAACAACAGACATGGGGCAATGCAAGAAGAGGAAGTGCTGAGAAACTACCTACTAGGTACTACGCATACTACCTGGGAGATGGACTCATGTGCACTCCAGACCTCAGCATTATGCAATATGCCCATAGACCAAATGGGCACATGTACTCCCAAACCTATAAAAAAAAAAAATGGCCCCTGTCGCTCAACATTAAAAACATTGTGTTTAGTAGTCCCAGCCTCCCTCTTCTGTTTTTTCCCTCTCAGAGGTTCCTCCTCTGTGCCTCATCTGCCCTCCTCCCTCTTGCCTCTTCCTTCTCCTAAAAGGAAGCATAACGGCTGGTGAGAGCTTAGTTACCTTCCCCTGAGTCAAATGGATAGTACATTAAAACAGAGATAAAACTAAAGGGAAGAAGCTCTGCTGGAGGAATTTAGGCAGAATGAATAATGGAAAGAGCCACGTATTGGAGCCAAAGAGAGCTGGAATTGATTCACAGTTCTGTCATGTAGAAACTTGACAGCCTTGGGCAAATCACTGGTCTTTCCTGAGTTGGTTTCTTTACTTACAAAAATCAAAATAATAATACCTGCTTCATAGTGATTTGAGAATTAACTAAAATTATGTTTACAAAAAAATCATTGCAATATTTTGCACATAATTGGCATTCAATAAATATTACTTCTCTTATCTTACAAAAAGGGAGATGGAGGGGTTGTTGGGGAAAGTCATGGGGATTTCTCAGTATTCTAATCTACTGGGAATAGGACTGTGTATGTGTGTGTGTGTGTGAGAGAGAGAGAGAGAGAGAGAAAGAGAGAGAGAGAGAGAGTGACGGAGCCAGAGAAAATTTAGGGGAAGGAGATTTATTTGATTGCACTGATTTTTCTAATCTGCCTTCTTAAGTCATATTAGTGCCTGCAATTTCCTGGTATCAAGGAAAATGATAAACTAAAATTCCTTGGTGAACAGAGCCAATGAAGAAGATTGGTTTGTGGAAATAACCTATGGGCTGGTTTAAAAACCTAATGAAATAATTTTATCCTATTTCTATGTTCCATAGATCTACTTTCTCTTTTAGATGGTACTGATCAAGTGATAAATTTCTCTGTTTTATTTTTTGTGCTGGCCGCTCTGGGGCCAACACATACTTTTGCCACATCTGTTAATATTACTGTCTTGGAATCTGTCAAAATGAAGAATAACTTCCTTCTCCATGCCAGACCTGATTTGATACTCTTAAAGGCAAGGATTCAGACCTTTCTTGGCACCAAAATACAGGAGCTGGGCACAGATCTCACAGCTCTTTTTATTCCTTATCAAACAGAATGCCCAGTGTTTCCATATTACCAGGACTGCTGGTCTTGCACTGCCTGAACTGGAGTATTTGCCATGATGTGCAGGAGCCAGCTTCACACCAGGGGCTGCTCTTTCTGTGGTTAAGAATGGATGTTTTAGAGGCTATCACCCTGATCTGGGTCATCCTTCAGGAAATGAATAAGGTCTTGAGGCTTCTTAAAATCATCTTTTTGGGGAGCCAGATTATAAACTCCTGGTAAAATTTACTCATGACTTTTCCCAATATAAAAATGTAGGCTTCTTCCCATAAATGGATTTCTAACCAGCCACTTCTGGTTTGGGGAATCCAGTGCTTTTGTTTTATATTTTTAAAAATATTTAGAAGTCATACATACATAAAACAAGAAAGTAGGTATGATACTTAAAAAAAAGAAAGAAAGAAAGAAAGAAAGAGCCCCAAGCAGCATCTATGTATCATTATTCCATGAAAGATCTGCAGATATCCCACCAGGATGGGTGCTGGCCTAAGCTGTACTCTTTGCTGGAGAATTATAGCTACACGTAATTAATACCCTATGCCAATAATAAACAAAAGTGAATACATGATGTGTTACAAGACTTTTCTGTCCTTCCCGATAATCCTTATAAGATTCATTCTTGAATTACTTCTTCTGCAAGAGTTCTTAACTTCAGGTCTATGGACACTCAAGAAGTCTGTGACAAGACTTTATCTCAATTAAAATATATATAACGACTAGAAATATTTGACAAATTACTTCAGTAAAACTGATTTCACCTGTGATAGCAACCATTTTTATTTTTTGCTTAAAAGAATATTATTCTGAGAAGTGCATAGGCATCACAGAATTGTCAAAGGAATCCATGTCACTAACAAGTTAAGAATCTCTGACGTAGTGGAAGTTTTTGTGGGGCCCAGGGGGGCTTTTTGTATGACCTGCTGATTTCATTAATTTTCACAGTTCACAGTTTTCTCTTCTATGGTCTCACCCCACTGGTCTCCACCTCTGTTGGTTTGTGTCATCTGTATCTATGATGTGCTAAAATGGTCAAGTTAACTTTTTGGACAGAGCGCTATTTTTTTAATTTTCCTTATTTTTTTGAGACGGAGTCTTGCTCTGTCACACAGGCTAGAGTGCAGTGGTTCGATCTCGGCTCACTACAACTTCTGCCTCCTGGATTCCAGTGATTCTCCTGCCTCAGCCTCCTGAGTAGCTGTGATTACAGGCGTGCACCACCACACCCAGATAATTTTTGTATTTTTAGTAGAGACAGAGTTTCACCATGTTGGTCAGGCTGTTCTTGAACTCCTGACCTTGCAATCCGCCTGCCTCAGCCTCCCAAAGTGCTGGAATTACAGGTGTGAGCCTCCGCGCCTGGCCTGGGCAGAGCACTATTTCCAACACAGTGATAATGCAGTTGATGATGGAAAATTTCTTCAGGTTTATTTTAGTTTACTGACCAAATCCCATATGCTGATTACTATGCTAGTCAAAAAGTACACAAGGTCAATATTTAAAACAAGCAAAAAAACACAAAAAATACTCATTGCCCTTTATTATTTTATAATCCAAATATGTGTGTGTGTGTGTGTGTGTGTGTGTCTGTACATAATAACTTTTATGTCTCTCACCCTCCTCCACAGATCTTGGAGACATCTCAGGTTTAATGAGGACTTTCCAACATTCCAGACTGCTGCCCTGCAATGAAGCTCTGAGTCATGGTCTGTGGGAATAAGGTACTGGCAACAGTGTGAACCCCAGGACAACCAACCTCACTAACCTCCACTATAAGCAGAAGCCCAAAGTGAGTCTGGCCTGAAATCAGAGCAAGCACTGCAGAAAGGCATCTTTGCTAATGGAAAGAGGAAAGAAGAAAAGAATTTCCAATAAGTTACAACAAACTTTCCACCATTCTAAAGAACCCACCTTCCTTATCAACCAAGCTGGGCTTCTCTCTAGTGACTCTTATTCTAGCCTTTCGCCAGAAACAGAGACAGTTAATCCTGGTGAAAAGATAAAGACAGACACTCAGAAAAAAAGACCTGGAACTGTGATACTATCAAAACCATCAAGTAGAAGCATTATGTCGGAAAGCCAGTTTAGTCCCCCTGTGATCCCTGCTCGCAGGCCTGGATTGCGGGTATGCTATATCTGTGGTCGAGAATTTGGGTCCCAGTCAATTGCCATTCATGAACCCCGGTGCCTACAGAAGTGGCATATTGAAAACAGCAAGTTGCCCAAGCACTTGAGGAGGTCACAACCCTCCAAACCGCAGTCTCTTGGTGGCAGTGGGTCCTCCAGTCTTCAGGCAACGAATGAGGCTGCATTTCAGAGTGCCCAGGCTCAGCTTCTGTCCTGTGCGTCCTGTGGCCACACATTCTTGCCAGATCGTCTTCTTGTTCATCAGAGAAGCTGCAAGCCAAAGGGTGAGGGTCCCAGAGCACCGCACGGTAATAGTTCTGATCACCTTACTGGCCTCAGGAAAGCTCCTGGTGGAACCCCAGCCCGACCAAGGACCGTTGTCTGCTACATTTGTGGTAGGGAATTTGGCACCCTATCCCTTCCTATTCATGAGCCCAAATGCCTGGAAAAGTGGAAAATGGAGAATGACCGGCTTCCCACGGAGCTCCAGCCGCCACTCCCACAGAAGCCTCAGCCACTTCTGACTGTGCAGTCCAGCCACATGTGACCCAGTCAAGCTCAGCTTGTGCCCTGCCCAAATTGTAGCCTGACGTTTGCCTCAGACTGCCTTCTGGTACATCAGAGAAGTGGTAAAACTCAACCTCATGGGCCAAAAGATCAGAATTTGACCTTAGGGAGTAAAGGAGGCCTAAAAGAGTCCACTAATTCCAAGCAGCAAAGGAACATGGCAGGACCCAGTGTAACTGATAAGATCATTCAGGCCACATAAGATGCATTACGTGAACCTGGTGGCACCCTCTGCCTGTAGGGAATGAGAGAAAACCAACCCCCAAATCAGCCACCTCAGCCCCTAGTATTTTTTCTATCAATGCTTTATGTCAGCCTCAATGCAGCCTGTTCAAGTTAACTCCCTGTTGGACTCCAGGGCTTGTATCTCTCTTGGCTAAATAGGTACAAAAACATCATTGCCTGATGGGTTCATATTCCTTTTCAATTCTGCTGTCTAAAAGAAGGAGAAATGAACTACTTTCTTCCCTGATCCCTGATACAAATAATCCCTGGGAGAGACTGTAATTTGAAAATGAGTCATTAATGCTGTGTCTACATTACAGAGATATAATATAATTCCCTTCCAACAGCCAATATTTATTGCTGGTTTATTTTAGTCATCTACCTTAGGAATTCATTTTTGGCAATGCTGGGTTATGCTGAGTTTATCTTACTAAAATAGAATCTATGTCAAAAACCCCAAATGACTTTAGCAACAATTAAACACTGAAACACTCCCAAAAATACACATGCTCTGTAAATACAGCATATTTTTTTTCTTTTGACATTTATATGGTTGTAGTAAGTAGGAAATTAACCCCAGTGTAGACATTGAAGCAACTAGGTTATGTTCTGGGAGGTGCTTAGTTCCTGCTGCTTCTCTGTGTCTTGTGTTCAGGCTGAATACAGGGCCCTGACCCCCAACTTGGGCCATTCTTAATAAGCATGACCCCAGGAATCCCCAGCTTGAATGGCAAAGAGTTTTTAGGGTTTTATCTAAAGTTTCACCGTAGACAAGGATTGGAGAGAGATGCTTACAAGAGTGGCTACCTGCAAGACAGGGCCTGGTCCAGGTTCTTTGTCCTGCCATTAAACCAGATAGTGAATGTACTATCTTGTGTCAGTCTTATAGAATATCAAATCATGAGAAACAAGAAGTGGTAAAGTCGTTTTTCCATGGCTTGCTACTTAAAAGCCCAGCCCGCAGGGATAATGGATTCTTAAGAAAACTAAGATTAGGTTGGTGAGGTGGCTCATGCCTATAATTCCAGCACTTTAGGAGGCCAAGGCAGGTGAATCACCTGAGATCAGGATTTCAAGATCAGCCTGACCAATATATCTCTACTAAAAACACAAAAATTAGCTGGACGTGGTGGCGTGTGACTGCAGTCCCAGCTACTCAGGAGGCTGAGACAGGGAGAATTGCTGGAACCCAGGAGGTGAAGGTTGCAATGAGCTGAGATCACACCACTGCACTCCAGCCTGGGCAACAGAGCAAGACACGGTAAAAAAAAAAAAAAAAAGAAAAGAAAAGAAAACTTAGATTATACAAGCTATTGTAAAAGATTAAACCAAAGGAATTAGTGGGGGGCATCCCTTATTTCTAATTTGATTTTTCTTTCTTTTTTATTTTATTATTTTGAGGACTATCTAGACCTTTTCTCCTAAATTCCTTGTTTAAAATAAAATGAGTATAGTCTTACTGGTTTAGAAGATTCCAAGGCAATGATTCGAAAGCTGAAGAGTCACTCACAGCTGCTGGGCAAGTTTTCCGATGAATACTGTAGAAAAAACAGCTAGTTTCTTTGCTGAATGAAAAACCAAACTCCTCAATGTGGCATGGTCTTCAAGCTGGTTTCATAAACATGACCTGTTTTTCCCACCTTCTGTCTGCTGCTTTTCTTCCATAACATGTGGGGTCTGGATTCAGAGAGTACAAGAATCTGTGTCTCAGGGTCACAAATCAGAAACTCTGTTCACTTTCTGCCTTACAGCCCTGTTTCTTGATTGTATGCATTTACTTCAAATGTTCTCATTACAGATCTAGAGATAGGGAAGCGTGTGGTCAGGATTCTTGTGCTTGTTGTTGTTACACATACTTTGTGCTCAAGAGTGGAGCCAACAGGCTGAGCACGGCATGTTCTTACTCAGTCACGATGGCTGAAAGTGGCTGGCTTGGGCCTCCAGCTTCCCGAGGAGACACCTTCCTGACTCACCCAGTTGTCTGGAGGGAAGAATGTCAGGAGAGGCCAGCGATGGCCCTCCAGTGACTCGACTCATGGATTTAGATGAGAGTAGGGGAGGTGTTCTAGAGGACATGGATATGTCAGAGCGCACCCAACCCTGATCTCAGGCCTGAGAACACACATGTGAGTGGGAAACTGGCCCCGACCACGGTCAGATGTGCGCTGGCCTGTTTGGGGACCACACAAGCTTCAGTAGAGGACATAGAAAGGTCATCCAACATAGGGTCCATTTGGCTGCCAGACATAAAACAAGCTTGGGTTAGTTACAAAGGAGAAAACTCAGGCTGCCAGGGAACATAAGATCTTTCAAAGCAGTGGGCTTTAGCCCTTCCTTTGAGAAGACATTTACCATTTCATAGTGCTTTCAGTAGAAAGCCTTTTCTCCACAGTGTAGTTTAATTATTATTTGATCCTGCCTATAGATGTTTTTCTTTTTATCATTTAAATTTTTAATAGTGCTATGAATTACTCATTTTTCATAAAGAACATTACTCTAATGATTATTAGATTTCAGAATTCAATCTGTGACAGCTGACTTTTGGCAGCCTGTGACACTCACACATTCCTTCTTATAATTCAGATTATTTCTCTCTGGAATCCTTGGTTTGATTTCAGATTAGAATCAACTTTTTTGCCTTGCATTCTCACAGGGTTCAATCTTGTAAGGGATTCAGGTGAGAGAAATAGTTTCAGAACCATGATTATAGTACTTGGAAAACAATTCACTCCAGTGACCCCACAGTCACTGTTTCACTGGAAGAATGAATTACCTTTCCCTCAGAATGTTTCCCCAACATAGGTTGGCTCAGGTCCCTCATTACACAGATGCTCCTGCGATCCTTCTATCAAATCTAAACACAAACACAGATTAGACAAGTCCTGCTCCAAGATCTCAGTGAGCATTTTGCATTGCCTTCTAACCAATATATTGGCTCGAACTGTCTCATTGTTTCTCATCCAAAGTATAGGGCTGAACTCACTCTACGTGATCTCACAGGAAAGTTGTGAAGGACACTAAACAGGATTTAAGAGGAATAAAACCTTCAGTGTGAATTTTTATTTAAAAGGTGAACAGTCCTGGGACTGTGTATATGTATTTCACGGTGTAATGAGCAGCATCACACTTCCTTTCTTTCCTCTAAAAGCCTGGAAGGGTAATACCCAATATAGCAAAAATGTAAAAGTGATATCAATTCCAGATGAAATTTTGATTCATTATATGGACCAAATCATACGTTAACATTTTAAATTTTAATATCACATCTATTTAATGAGATTCTTTTATGTCTACTTTAGTAAATGATTTTCTAAACTATGCTGAAGAATATAATAGAAGTAATTATCATTTCTTATTTTAATATGAATAAATAAATTTTAATATTCATATTTAATAGTTGATAAAATTTTGCCTGTTTTTAGAAGGTGATCATAATTCATTCTTTAACTTTAGGCTCTTTCAAGCTAATTGGAATAGAGCTAATTAAATATAACTTAAACCAAAATGATGCTTCTGCCTAATAACTTTTTATTAGGTAAAGCTTGGGGTTATTTTCTTAGGATTTCACTTGTAACATGTGAAACACAGTTCCTAAAAACCATGTTCTATATTGCAAAATATGTATTATCTTTCTTAAGGGTAACTATCTTTTCTATAAATGATCGTCTCTCTGAACACAGTTTTAAGCTACTTTTGACATCCTCAATGCTCAAGTTGGAGTTAAAGCCCCATCAGACACATCTCCAGCATCTGGTGCTGCCATCTGGTGTTTTCTCTTCAAGCAATGTCTTCTGTGCTATCAAATAATATTGACAGATTTTCCTGCTTTGTGTTATCTCCAAATGTACTTGAAAAGGTGTCCTTATTAGATAAGCTCCAGTTATTGAGTGCTAGAGTTAAATGTTTGATTTAAAGCTATAAATGTTCTCTGGCTAAGTATCTTACTCTTTACAGGCAAAACTCACAATGGGAAGAGTATAATCAGAAAAACTCAGGAGGGCAGGATAGATATGCTCACATTTTCAAATTTTGCATGTGTGCATGTGTATCTGTTGGGTAAGAAGAATCTGGAGTTTAGGGGAAGGCATGGAAGACAGGGAAGTTTTACTGAATACCTTTATGTCTTAGTTCATTTGTGCTGCTATAACAAAATACCAAAGACTGGGTAATCTATAAAGAACAGAAATTTATATCTCATGGTTCTGGAGGCTGGGAAATCCCAAATCAAGGTATCAGCAGGATTTTTATGAACTTGTGCGGAAGGCTCTACTTCCAAGATGATAATTAGTTGCTCTATCCTCCGGAGCAAAGAAATGCTGTGTTGCCATGTGGTGGAAGGGATAGAGATTTGAGAAGGGTGCTTTCTCTTCTAACCTTGAGCCCTTTCTTAAGGCTGTTAATCCCATTCGTGAAGGTGGTGCCCTCACAACTCAATCACCTCCCAAAGGCCACACCTCTTAACATTGCTGCATTGGGAAGTAAGATCCACCATGCATTTTGGAGGGACATGGCCATTAAAACCGCAGCACTTTATGTTAGCACTTTATATACATGATGTCATTTGAACCCTCATTATATTACTATAAGATAAAACATTATTTTCCCACTTCCCAGGTTGGGAGACATGGGTTAAGCCACTTGCTCAAAGTCATACAGTCGGTTCGCAAGCAGCTGTCAGAGCCTGTCTGTCTAATTCCAAAGATTCATACATTTTTATGTCACTATGAGAGGGGCATAGAAATGTATAAAAAACAGGTATTGCTACCCTGCCAAGCTTTGAGTGCTAGACAGGACAAAGAGGACAGAATTCCATTCATTCACTAATACTTATTATTAGGCATTGGACTAAGTACTAAATATAGGGTTATAAAAATATAAACACAGTTCTTGACCTCCTGGAGTTTTTAGTCCTATTGAGGAAGTGATATGAATTTTTTTTTAAATATACAATTTAAAATTGTGTTATGACAATGTACAATGGTGGAAAACCGACATCAGGATTTGGGTTAGAGAAAACCTGTGGGAGGAAGACAGTTCAGCTAAGACATAAAAGGTGTGAAAGCACTAGCCAAGAAGAAATATGGGGAGAAAGAGAATGGTTAGAGAAAAAGACATTCGGATCAAGGGCAGCATTTATGAAGGTCCTGAGGTAAGGAAGATCTCACAATGAAATGAAAAAGCATGCATGTGGCCAGGGCCAAATGAGGAAGGAGACAGGCACACGGAGGAGGCTGAAGAGGCAGCATAGTTTCCGCCAGCTGCTCTGTGAACACAGGGACAACAGTTGTTTGGTTACTGCGGGAACCCAGGTGAGAGCTGGTGACAGCTTGGCCTGTCATGTTGGTAGCAGAGATCAAGATAAGGTACAGTGGGCAGATCTTGGTGATAGTTGAGATGTGGAAGGGTGAGAAAGAGGGTCGAGGATGACTCCCAGATTTCTAGCTTGAGCAACTGCACCAGTAGTGCCATTTTCTAAGATGAAGAAGACTTGAG